TCCATTGTGCTGTCAATTTTTTTTTTTAATAATTTCCAAAGTACTTGGGCATTGGCATAAATTGTAGCTGTAGTACAAAATGATATTTTTATATATTCAATTTTTATCAAAGTTAAAGTAATCAAAAACTATCTAAAAAGTTGTAAGGCTAAAATTAAATACCATCAAATAATTATAATATGTTTTAAAAAATTGCCTCGAATGTAGAAATTATACAACTTTTCTAAATGAAGCAGATAAAGAAATGAACATGGGCCCATACATTAAGAAATGGCCTCTTGACTTCCAAGGACCAACTTATCTTTGAAAGTTAGCAGCCCACTACATCACCTAGGCTGAAACACCTTGGAATGGATAACTCATCACAGCTAAGTCGCCATGGGCAACTCACTACAGGACAACTCACTTTGGGACAATTCAACAATTCAATTTAATAATTTAAAATAATCAAAAATATTTAACATTCAAATTTTATAATGTCCCTCCTTTGGCATCCTTTCTTTAATAATTCTATTCAACTTCTTTGATATTAGTGTAACACTTATCCTGTGGCCAGCTGGCCTGCAACAAGTTGGCCACAGTGAATTAGCTGCGGTGAGCTGTAATAGAGTTGAAAAATCTTTGACTTTTCTTGTTGAACTGTTTCCAACTTGGCAGTTATGACATCTTTATAACTTTAACCTCTTGCATTGAATTGACTTATTTTCCTCTCGGATCCGTATCCCTTTTTCTTGTTATTTACACTGTTTTGATCAGAAGTCTGAAGGTTCCTTAGCTGTTTAATGTGTACTGAGTGTAGTGCTTAAAAGGTATTGAGTAATAATTACATTAACAAGAAAAACACAGTAGTTGCCCAAATGAAATTTATGTTAGCTTTTCTTTATTAATTTAAAGGTTTTCTAAGACACTGTTGAAACTTAGAATTCTTTTATTTATTTGTTAATACATTTACAATATTTATGCATCTGACCTGTTTTGGACTTGGGCTGGAACTCTTCTAGCTTAAGTGACAGCTCCAATAGCTGGTTAGCCTGGATTGAATACTTGGGAAGCTTCTGCTGAAGCATCCCAGTCTCAAGAGAATTGTCTTAAACTGGCTCAGAATTGAACAGCATCAGCACAAGACAGGGTCATTTTATGATCACATTATGGTTATGCTCTTTGACTAGGCTCACACATTCTATTAAGTCACAATCTGCTTTGGTTTATGTTATGACTTCTATGGACTCAGCCCTTGAGTTTTGAAACCCATGATTTATGGCACACCCAACAAATTACAAAAATCTAACACCATGGTTTAGTAACTTGTAATTCTAAAACTCTACAAAAGCTTTGATAGTTAAATAGGCAATCTCTGAAAGTAATTAAAAAGTGAAATTAATGAACTTAGTGTCCCTAAAAGGCTTTGTTGCAGTTGTTAGCTTGATAACTGATCCCTTCATCTCCTAATGCTCAATCCTCAAATCCAATCTTCTCGTGAGGAACAGTTGTTCAGATGTGGGCCATCTCCCACCCTCTCCTTGTCTGGATAGATTCCAAAGAACCAAACTGTCTGCCAGTTCTTCAATCTTTGCTCTTGTTATCACTTCCAATGTCCCAGATATGTGTTTAGCTTGCCATACTTCCTACAGTGGAAATCCTACACTTGTGATTGTTAAGACATTTCCATCCTTTCTCTTGTTCGTCATAAAGTAATGGTTTTAAGTAATTATGTTTGGCATGAAAGTATGGCTATTGCTTATTTTTTGAGTTTTGGTTGCTGTATGAGAAATAGCAAAGCTACTGAACTCAACTAAGCAATTTTTACAAACCTATATATGCATTAGTTTTCTATTTATGGTTAAGAATTCACCAGCTTAAGAATATGCAGCTGTGAAATCCTACTCTAAAATATCTAGTGTCTCAACTTTCATGAATATTTCAGATAATATGTAAACAAAACAGCAAAAAGCAATGGTGCAACCTTGTTGGATAGTATATGCACTCCAAATACATCGGTATAGAGAATTGTGTGCATTGAGGAGAAAGACTGAAGCTTGGCATTTTAAATAAGCTGGGCCATATAATCAACTAGGACAAATTTAGTTTGTTTTCTTTATATACTGTCAAGAATATCCTGCTGGGTGTTTCACCATAATGAACTCCACCTGGATAGTCTGTAAATCTAAACTGGAAGTCTGATTCAAAGCTGTTCCTTGTTATTTCACCATATCTTTCACTGAGGAAGCTCTAATTTGATCATTAAGTGCCTATTACATCAAGCCAAGTGAGAAATGGCCTCCTTAGAGTGCCACATCATATTTTTATGGGCTGTGTGCCACATCAAAAATTTTGCTAAAGACTTTTGTCCCTTTCTATTATGAAACAAGAAATAATTTTTACTTCCACTAAAAAAGTTTGGGTCAAGTGATAAGAAAGCCTCTATTTTGTAGGATAGCTAAAGCTGGAATTATAAATACTGTTAGGCCAACTGAACTGTCAGAGCTGAGATTCAGTGTTGCCAGGTTCAAGGTGCTATTAATTGCAAGCTGGTTGGAGAGTGAATTTGTCACTGAGGCTATATTTTAGATTGATTTTGTCTCTATTTCCTAGCCTCGGAAAGGATCTTCTTGATATATTTTAGTTTTAATATATAGAGAATACTTAACTACTACATACATATGAACTATACTATGAGTCAAAGGATGCCTCATCCGTTTAGTCAGAGCAAAATTAATAGTTAATAGCTCTACATTTGAATTTATTACCTTCAAATATGTTATTCTCTTAATACTCTCTCTCACTGATCTCATGCTAGTCGGCTAAAATACAATTGTATCAATGTATTTCAAAAACTGCAAATAAATGATGTCTAAAGATGTCCTGAATTAACTATTAAAATTCTAATGTATCTGTAACAAGTGCAGGCAGTCTATTATTCAGTTTCCATTATTTCTTTTCTGTGAGAAGCCTCATTTCCTATCCACTATGCATGCTAGAATAGACATTTGCAAGTATATCTAATGCAGAACCAAAGTAGGAACATCAATTAGAAAAATGTACTTGATTGTATTCTTCCATAGTATCCAGCTTTTGTAGCTATCAGATACATTGAAATTTTAAGATCATGTAAGATAAAAGCTCTTTGTCTCTGATAACAATGGACAAAAATAAGACAGGAGCTTGGCTTGATTATTTATGGAATAAATATTCAATATTTCAAGCTGCATTTTGTGTTTGTAGTATTGATTTATGCTTTTTTCTGAATGCTTAGATTTACGAATAGGAAAGCAGTGAGTATAAGGAAATGCTTAAAGGATATTTACCATCAGGACTATGTCTTATCATAAATCATATATCACTTGATGATACATCTATAACCATTTAGTTAACATGACACCACAGGGTACTTATTTCATGATTTATAATGAATGGAAAAGGATAATCCCTGAAGGGGAATATTTACTGAGAATGGAAAATGGAAGCTTAGGAGGAAAATGTCTGACATTTACTGACACAAAGATTGCTGGTGTTGTAACATGTAGTACAGAATATTAGGGTAAAGTATTAAAGCCAGTGTCTGAAACAAGAACAAAGCAATTATGAGTGGGCCATTTCATATGACTCGTACCAGCCAGTTTGTTGTTGCTAATACCAGCAGACAAAACATGAACTACAAAGAATAGAAACTTTCCTAAGACGCTATTAAAGTGAATAAATTATTCAAAGTCCTCTGAAATTATACATAGGGTGTGTAAATATTTAAATAAAATTAGATGTTTGATTCTTAAAATTAAATATAATGCATAGAAAAGTGCCACCTTGAAAGATTTTAAACTGAAATCTATTTAGTAAAGGGCCAATTCTTCTTCATATAAAAATTGACTGTATGTGTGAACTATGAAGCAGAAATAGATTCATCTTAATTATTGTTAATATGTACATAAATTAAGGTAACTTTTCTTGTTCAGGAGCTTCATAAAAGACCTTTCAGTGATATGGTAAATCAGTGGAAGGGGTCTTGTTTACCATTTAATTGAACACCTTAATGCAGGGAATGTCAAACTCAATTTTATTGAGGGCCATATCAGGCCCTATATTTGACTTTGGGGAGTTGGGGTGGGCATGGCCAGCTCGACATCACTTATGTCAGGGGAACCTGTGGTGGCTAAGTGCTAAGGCAGGACTTCCCCAAGACCGTCCCTCTCATTATAATCTTGTTCCTCTAGCCCTCTACCAATGAAAACAGAACTCAGGAGGGCTGTGCATGGTCCCCCTGGGCCCTGTTTTGGCAACACCAGCCTCCTGTAGCCCTTTGCCGGTGAAAACTGCACCTGCCCTAACCCTAACCCTCCTAAGCTCTGTTTTCTCTGGCAGAGGCACGATGAGCTGTTCCTTCACTGTTTCCAGAGTGGCCCCGTGGGTCATATCTAAGCACCTATGGGTTGCCTTGAATTTTACATCCCCACCTTAACATATCCTACATCGGACTGCTTCAGGCAGCAATCCAGAAGCTCTGGTTGGTACAAAATGTAGGATGAGGATTATTGTGAAGACTGTCCTGTCCTGTCAATATAAAATTATACCTAAACTGAAGTTGCTATATTGATTGCCAGTAGACCAACTTGAAGTATTGGTCATTGTTGTGGCCCCGACTCCCGAGCCTATGCTGTCAGAGGAAGAGGACCTGGAAGATGAGGGGGAGGAACTGGCAATTCCTTCCTCCCCAGGACCTTCCTCCCTGCCAATGCCTGCCTCCCTGGTAATGCCTCAGGTTCCATCAGGCAACCAAGAGGAACAGCCTGGGATGAATCAGGAGGAGGGCATGTCAGAGCAGCCCCTGACAGGGAGTGAGGAGGAGGAGTCTTGGCTCGACCCCAAGCAGCGTTGTAGGGAGAAGCGTGAGCAGCAACGTAGGAAGTGCAGGAGGGTCAGAGAGTGAGCTACGTCACTGAGCCACACCCCACAGGGGATAAAAGTGGGTGTGCTTTCTCCTTAAACTTTGTACGGGACAAAGTTTAACTTACTTTAGACTTTATTCGTGACTATGTTGGAAGAACGATTATTTTGTGGATTGCCTTGTGCTTTGTGAAGTAAAAGACCCATTTCCCTCTCTGTGAGTAAGACTTTGATTTACAATTACTGCCAGCTCAGACTTGGCAGGCAGGATGTAGTGGGATGCCAAGAATGTTATCAGTTACAGAGGATTTGCTCTGCGAAGTTCGAGCCAGCTTGCCTGTCGGTGTTTGTGTGTGTATATAATCCCTTACCTTTTGGGGGAAGGGGAAGGGGAGACAGAACAGGTCATTACGTTTAAAACTCTAAATTGTGTAGCAGCAATATGCAGCAAGCAATCCTTTGTCAGAATTGAATCTACCCAACTGGTCCTGTGATCAAGATTGAACCTGCTGAAAATTCCCTAAATGAGGTTTGTAGGACACTGAGGAAAAAGAAAAGCTTTTCAGTAATAGCCTTACTCTATGGAATACTGTATTCTAAAAAATATTTTTAATACCCAATTTTCTAAAGTCAGTGTAGAGCTTACTGTTATTGTTTTTTATCATTGCTTTCTATGTTTATGTTTGCCTTTAATTCTATTCTGAGGGGTTTTTTCTCTTTGTTTCATGCTGCATATTATCCAGAATTCTTTTAGATTGGGATGGACCATAAATATGCTAAAATAAAGAAATGCACGCTGGTATTTCCTGCAGGTCTTCCCATTCTGTACAGCCTTCTGGAACTTAGGTCTTGAATTTAGGTTTTTAGTCTTTGCAGCTTCTGCCATGGATAACATCAAGAGTAAATTCTGCTTTTTTATAGTAAAGATCATACTGTGGGGGAAAAATGCCTTTAATGCTGACACAAGTCAAGAACAGGATTAGAACCTTTCCCATTAACTCAAATCTTTTAGAGTTTTAAAGTTTTTTGAAGTTTCTTTTGGTAAGTTTTAAAGTCAAATTTAGAGGTATTAAACAAGTTTATTATATATGTCTTTTTATAAACTGGCAGAAGCATTGGAAGTCCTGGCATATGTATTCATTACACAAACAAACATTAGCAACTTCCATCAAATTTCTCCTGGATCCAGCATCGGTACTAAATAACTATGAACCCTTAGTGCCATGGAGACTGTGGCTTTTATGAGCTCCAACTGATCAATCAGTTGCATACCTGTTTAAAATACAGAGTTTGATAAACTTCAGGTTGGGTTATTAAAATTGTCTGTTTCTGATGCAGCCACTGAAAATTACAGCTGAGTCAGAATATTATACCATAAAACACAAGTTGTATTTTTAGCCATTACAATATCATCCCCATACCGAAGTAGTTTCTTTAATAAACTAATTTCAGATTATCACTTTAGTATACACAACTCTATTAGCATACAATTAGGCTGCAGAACAATGTATTCATTTATAGAGTGCTCTACATATCCTGTGCAGATTCCACCATGGATGCAAGCTACCCCAACAAGTAAGTTTGCTTTTCTTGTTGAAGCCTCTACTATGGATGAAATTTTCTGTAGAGTTAACATCAACTCTTTTCCTTATTACACTTATCTTTTTAACATTTTTTAAAAAATTGATTTCTACAAGAAGGAAACAAAATTATTGTGACTACTAACTGAAATAAGTGTACATTAAATAATGATGCATAGTATTAGGGATCTCTTATGTGGTCCTGAAATCCAGGATAAAATATATTCAAATATTATAATGTTTGGGACATGATTTAGCAATATATGTATGGTTTGTATGTAGAGAGTCCCATATACAAATCCAAAATTCGATTTTGGATTATAAGGATGATCCAATCATCCTTCTTTCCATGTTCCAGTGTCCACCAGTCTTTGCAGTCACAATATCTATTGTTCTTTTAGTTAGTTGTTAGTGTTGATTAAGAGGTAGAGTTTTCACAACATCCTCACTTCCAATCTGTGATAAGTATTTTATAATTATGGTGAGAGTACAAAATAATTTTATCTGATGCAAGTTAGCTTTCTATATTTTTCTCCTACTGCAGTATAACATAATATTCATGTGTATTTGCTGCCGATCTTTTCAACATTTGCAGAAAGTAATTGCTGAAAATGAATTCCAGTAGGCAAAGAATACTCTAGAAGACTTTTTTTTTAGGCAAGACAAATAGAGAACTTGCCTAATAAAGAGTAAAAATGGTGTGCTCTTTCTTCCTTGACATGGGTGACTTTTGGTTTTTGGAAGCAATTTCTGTCTACCTGAGCTTTAATTTTTAAAAGTTAAGATCAAAGAAGTTTGTTAAAATAATGTTGCCCCCGCCCAAACCCCATAAATGTAACTATAGTGACATACTTGTAAAGCAGCAGGTATATACCCATAAACAGTTAATAGCTTCTTTAAGTGATTCTAAAATAGGATTTCATATAGTGATACACAGAGAGTTGCTGTTCATATGCTGTAGTTCAAATGGTACCTGTTTATGCTTTATTGTCTAAAATCACCCCATGAATTTGCAGTGTGTGATCATTGTCTATAGAAGTGTGGTTTGGCACATTATGGATGTGATGAACTCTAACGGCATGAACTGATGACTATCTGAAAATTCATTAATTCTGGTCCATAAAATTCTGTGGACACCATTGGCATCACAATTCCAGAACCCAAACTCAGCACGTTTAGTAACCTTTGCAGTCATTATTTGACTATGCAGAAGATTCTGATTAAACGTAAAGAGCTATTAAATACCACTGGGATGCAGACCTTTTGTTGGTCTTGGGAACAAGTTTATTTCTCATTTAATTAAATGGCAGGATACCTATGGACTTCATGAACTGGTATATCATGCCCCAGAGGACTAATTTTCTAACTCACAAAACCAACAAAATCATTTTTGCAAAAAGATTGCATATAAGGATTTGCAAACCTTGTCCTTTTCTTATTTCCAGTTGCCTCAATACTTGACTCTAATATATGTCTAGTAGATTAGGTTTCAAGTCTTCATACTGCAGATCCAAAATATCCTTCCCACAATAGTTTTAATACCAAATAATCGTCTACCAAAATGTTAGTGATACGTATATATGTATCAGTAACATTTTGGTAGAATATTTTTTACTTTTTATTATATTGTTAGCCACCCAGGATCACCGTATCAGTGAAATGGACAGGGTAGAAATTTAATAAATAAATGAATAAAAATTATTGGCTTTACCATCAAGTCTCTAGTTAAGTTATTATAAAAAGTGGGTTCTATAGGAGCTATAACCGGATTAGAGATCACAAACTGCTTAAAACAATTTACTGGGTGATATTGAAAGGGTCCATGGTGAAACAAAAATACTTTTTTGCTCTCAAGTAGACATGATAATGAGCATAAGTGTTTGATCAGATTAAATTTTCCTCCAAGGTCCTTTTAGTTATTTCCTGGATGCTATATTGCTCTCCATTAAAAAAAAAAATGTGTAACAAGGAACTGATTTCCAGAAAATGTCCAGAAGCTATTGTGTGAATGGCTTTAGTTACTTCTTTAAGTCCACCAGAAAGCCAACTCACTGATGAGATTGACAACTATACTAACTGGAAAGAAAAAATCTCCAGTTGTCTGAACCACCCAGCTTACAGAGACACACTATTGTAGTAGATTCCCTCAATCTTTGCAGAGGGTTGTAAGCTTAAATCTCCCATTGTAAACTTAAGTCTCAATAGGAATTTTTCTGATAAGAAGGTAGTAATCCTTCACTTTTAGATCTCCATCCCTCTATCCAGTAGAAAAATCAAATCCAGTGTGATTTCTCATATTTGGTAAGCTAGTGACAATTTGTGGCTGATCAAGGGAATTATGATGAAGTCTTGAGCTGATCCAACTAAGGCAAAGATGTAGTCTCCCAGAACACCAATTCTATGACCACTTTTCTAACTTTAGTAGGAAGGCTGTTAGACGGTCCATTCTAAGCACTCAGCATAGATGCAAATACTCAAGATAGTTACTTGAATAAAATACCATAGCCATTTCTCCAATGTTAAAGTTTATTCTTAGAAAATGAACAAATACAGGTGAAACTCGAAAAATTAGAATATCGTGCAAAAGTTCATTTATTTCAGTAATGCAACTTAAAAGGTGAAACTAATACTGTATATACTCGAGTATAAGCCTAGTTTTTCAGCCCATTTTTTGTGCTGAAAAAATCCCCCTCGGCTTATACTCGAGTCAGATTCCCCTCTGAAAAAAAAATGGTGTGGAGTCGCGGCCTCCGGCGGCAGCGACTCCCAACAGCCCCAGCCGGGAAGGGAAAGGCAAAAAGCGCTTTGCCTTTCCCTTCCCGATGCGGCGGGACTGGGGCCGCGCCGGCGGTAGTGACTCCTGACTCAGGGGGCCTCCGAGGGAGGGGAAGAGAGTGACTCCTGCCTCCCGCTGTCATCATCATCTTCTTCTTTTGGGTTAGTGAATCAATTAAACCTTTCATGATAGTGAGATCGTTTCCCAAATTAATTATTTTTATTTTTGAAATTTACCAGTAGCTGCTGCATTTCCCACCCTCGGCTTATACTCGAGTCAATAAGTTTTCCCAGTTTTTTTGTGTAAAATTAGGTGCCTCGGCTTATATTCGGGTCGACTTATACTCGAGTATATACGGTATATGAGATAGACTCATTACATGCAAAGCAAGATAGTTCAAGCCATGATTTGTAATAATTGTGATGAGTATGGCTTACAGCTCATGAAAACCCCAAATCCACAATCTCAGAAAATTAGAATATTACATGCAATCAATAAAACAAGGATTGTACATAGAACAATATTGGACCTCTGAAAAGTAGAAGCATGCATATGTATTCAGCACGTGGTTTGGGCCCCTTTTGCAGCAATTACTGCCTCAATGCGGCGTGGCATGGAAGCTATCAGTCTGTGGCACTGCTGAGGTGTTATGGAAGACCAGGATGCTTCAATAGCGGCCTTCAGCTCTTCTGCATTGTTCGGTCTCATGTCTCTCATCTTTCTCTTGGCAATACTCCATAGATTCTCTATGGGGTTCAGGTCAGACAAGTTTGCTGGCCAATCAAGCACAGTAATCCCACAGTCATTGAACCAGGTTTTGGTGCTTTTGGCAGTGTGAGCAGGTGCCAAGTCCTGTTGGAA